ACCAGCTAGAGAGATATATCTCTGGAGAAACCTATAAGTGTTTGGGGGCAGGGAGGCTAGGGGGATGTTATGAATGAACAATGTCCTAAAGTGCCATCTGTGTGCTGGCTGTGGCAGCCCCCAAATCATGCAGTGCCAGGGTGTGGTTCTGGATAAAATTGTTCAGGTTCCAAATATTTTTTAAATGAAAAGATAATAGGCAAGATTTGTGTGTACTTTTGAAAATATTTCCTTTATTGTATATTTTTGAAAAATTTTTGTTAATATATTTTTATTTATTTTTTAGAGAGAGAAAGGGAGAGAGAGATAGAAACATCGATGTGAGAAACATCCATCAGCTGCCTCCTGCACGCCCCCTATTGAGGATGGAGCCCACAACCCTGGCATGTGCCCTGACAAGGAATCCAACCCCGCGGGACCTTTCAGTCCATGGGGTGATGCTCAATCCACTGAGCCACACTGGCTGGGCTAAAGGTTTTAAAGTAAGTTTTTTGGATTTTCTGGTGGAATATCTGTATTTTCTCTATGGATGAAGTAATTTTAAAACGTTTTAATCCTTCTCCACTTCAGCAGCTTCTGTTTGCCTTTGCTCTTCCCTAATGTTCTTCATTTTATTTTCTCACTTCATTTATTTTTCTGTGTCTCAGAACATTTTTTTTTTCTCACTTAGGTCATGCTTTTCAAATTTGTGTTTGGGATTTTATTTTATGATCTTATTTTATCCTAATTAAAAGAACACAAATCATATTAGTCTGTTGTCTTGCCAAAAGGACCTCAGAATTTGAAGTTCAAAATAATATCCAGTATCATCTCATAAAATTGGCTAGTATTTCAGTCATAAATAATGTTTTTTTCCCAGAGTAAAGAAATATTTGATTTACTCTTTCCACCAAAGCACTCATTTGTCATATGTTTCCTATTCTGAAAGTTAGTGAGTCAGTTGTGATGGCAGCTGGTGATTTGAGCAGCAAAAGAAGAGGTATCTTTATACTTTAACACCAGTCCTCGAATGAGAACTATCTTTATCCACTCCCACTGCCCTCTGAAACAAAGGTCAAAATTAAATCGTAATACTAAATTCTGGGTATTGTGTCATTCTTTCAGATATAGCAGCAGCTAAAGGAAGGGAGGTATTCTAAACTTTTTTTTTTGTTTCTAGTAAAAATAAGATTGCAGTTCTCTTTGTAGCAGCACATAGAGTTAGACAGTTGTATAAATATAATGGGTAGAAAGGAAAGTAATAATGAGAAATAGTGAGCTGATCAGATTCAAGAAGGTCATACGTCCAACTCCAACAGCTTCCAGAAGCCACTCTTCCTGCCCCTCAACTCCCACAGGTAAAGAACCAAGAAGTCTAAGGAGAAGCATGACATTAACACACACAGAGTCTGTAGGTAGTTAGCATAGTTGAGTTTAGGTTAATTGCTACTATTACTCAATTAGCTCCTTAGATTCAAGAAGAATAGTCAGCCAACAAATATTTACTGACAAGGAGGAAGGACTGTATCACCACCATACCATGTTAGGTGCTGAGAAACGCAGTAGAAAAATAAGAGTTTAAAGACTGGAGGACAAGATATACATTCAGCAAATTATCACAATTTAGCCCAGTGAATTGATATCATCCCAAGCACTGAGAGGTCCTGGTTGGAGTCCAGGTCAGGGCACATGCCTGGATTGTGGGCTCAATCCCCAATAGGGGGCGTGCAGGAGACAGCCAACTGATGTTTCTATCTCTCTCTCTCCCCTCCTCTTTCTCTAAAAAAATCAATAAAAACATTAAAAAGCACAATTTATTAAATAAATTAATTCAAGGGTGCAAAGAAATATAGTGGCCAACAATAGAAACCTAACACATACATACATGCATGTGTGCACACACAGAACAGAGCTTGAAATGAATCTTTTTGCCACCTCAAGAGACAGCTTTGCTAATTCATAACAAGCAATATAAATAGAATTTATATGTACACATTTTCTATCATTGTTTATAGCTGTTGATAAGAATAAGTGAACATGGGGCCCTGGCCCCTAGTTGGCTGGAGCATCATCTCGTACACCAAAAGGTTGTGGTTTCGATCCCAGGTCGGGGCAAGTACAGGAGGCAACTGATTGATGTTTCTCTGTCACACTGATGTTTCTCTCTCTTTCACCTCCTTCTTTCTTTAAAAAAAAAAAGAAGAGGCAAGCATGGGTTCAACTGATGTCAAGAGACAGAATTAGTTGCTGCAGAAAATTTATCCAAAGTGAGTGATTATATATGTTCTAATAGAAATAGATAAGCTATAGATGCATTTATAGATTTGGATGTCTGCTTACATAAGCAATAGCGCATGGTGGCTAAAAGCAGACCACTGGAGCCAGACTGGTTTCTGTTCTGTACTGAGTCTGCTTCTTACTCACTCTATAATCTTGGACACCGCATCTGTAAAATGAAGATAAATACTCACATTAACAACCACATAGGTTGCCATAGGCTTAAATGAGTTACTACATGTAAAGCACTTAGCACATGTTAAGTGCCTGCCACAGAGTAAGTGTTCTACAAATGTCACATACTGCTTGGTTTTGCTCACATGGGCCTTTTTATTTTTTAGCCAACTAACTGTACGCAAAAATATTGAATCTTAATATTATTTTTTGAGTATAGGATACTTTTGTCAGAAGTATTCCAGGGTAAGATTCAGTACACATAGACAAGGGGGCCCAGGAATTTAATACCACGTTTGTTTCCTTTAGGGCTGAATTTCATTATGGTGATAATTGAATGACAGTATTTTCAGATTTAGAGTGTGAGATTTATTCTGATGTTGTCAGCTTATATAGTAGTTCAAAAACTGTATAGGTAGTCTATGGATACCTTTAGACTTATTTTCAAAAAAATACATTTGTCGCCCTGGCCGGTTTGGCTCAGCGGTTAGAGCGTCGACCTGCGGTCCTGAGAGACCCGGGTTCGGTTCCCGCTAAGGGCGCGTACCTCGGTTGCAGTTTGTTCCCGGCCCTGGTTGGTCGTGCGGTGGCAGCCACTCGATGTGTCCCTTTCACATCGATGTTTCTCTCTCTCTCTCTCTTCCTCTCTCTCCCTCCCACTCTATCTGTACAAAAAATGGAAAAATGTCCTCGGGTGAGAATAAAAAAAAAAAAAAAATACATTTGTCTTATTATCTGAATATATATTGTCCCATTTAACCTAACTGTGACAAATTAAGGAATAAGATGGTAGAATAAACCCTGGCCGGTTTGGCTCAGCGGTTAGAGTGTTGGCCTGCAGTCCAGAGAGACCCAGGTTTGGTTTCCGCTAAGGGCACGTACCTTTGGCAACCACTCGATGTGTCCTTTTCACGTCGATGTTTCTCTCTCTCTCTCTCTCTCTCCCTCTCCCACTCTATCTGAACAAAATATCAAAAAATGTCCTCGGGTAAGGATTAAAAAAAAAAAAAGATGGTAGAATATGTAAAGCTTATGGAAGCTTTTAATATGTGTGTTAGTACAGGAAGACCCAGGGGAAAGTCCTGGGACTGAAACTACCTCCTTAAAGAGTAGAGAAAGATGGCCACTCTGGTCTGATAATTAATAGTTTGTTAAGGGAAACTTACATATAAGGTGACTCTTGAATGGCTTCAAGACTAAGTAGATCCCCATCCTGCTTGGCATGTGCCAGAGAATTACATAGAACAAGGTGGGGATAGTCACGGATACTAGTACATGAATGCTACCAGGTATGGAAATTATTTTACCAGCTTGACCAGGTCAGGACAACTGCCTGCTCCAGGAACCAGCAAGTAGCAGGAGGCAGGAGAAGGGGTTCTAGTAAGTCAGAGTGAGCATGGATTACAGACAGTCTCTAAGGGGAGTTTGTGGTAAGAATCTCCTTTCTGGCCTGGGCCAGCTCATGGGTCAGACTGCAGTAATGTGATAATGGAACAGTCTCTCCTCCATAAGGTGGAACACCTTAGGATATAAATTTCTGCAGTGCTATTATTAGGCATGACATCAAGGACAGTTTCTTTTCAAACTTTGTGCTTCACTCTGGAGAAAAACAAGAGTATGGCATCTTGAATTTCTTCACCGAGTAACTTAGAACCCAATGAAGAAATATGTGAATACCAGCTGCACATATTATGTTACTTGAGTTCAGCATCAAAATTATAAACAAAACTAGTCATATGTTCTTTCAAAGCTATTGCTATACAAAACAAACATCCAAATCATCAAAATAATATGAATAATTATGACCATAAATCTTTTTACTAACTCTCTGGTTTGGGCTTCTTAAAAACTAATTAAAATTTTTTAGTTCTACTCTACTCAGACTACACTAGCTAGCTAACACATGTGTGTTTACCACATTCCAGATGCGATACTAGACGCTTGCTATACTAGTAAGTTTTGAATCTAATGAGAAAATTATACTTTATAGAGTAAGTTGCAGCTTTCAAATAATGCAGCAATTTCAAGGAAGAAGAAAGTGGAGAGGGGGATACAGAAAATTTAAGTATATAGAGTCTACAGACCAGTGTTCTTTGTATCGTTTTATGAACTAAAAACCCTGTTTAATTTTTTATTACTGTTCTAGAAAGGCGAGTGGAGTTTTTAAGGGGACAATGTTCCACTTGGTCTGCCTCTGATGCCTGTTAACCAATAATACGGTTCTCATTCCGCTGCTGTGGGAAATAAGCAACAACGGAAAAGTAATAATCACTTTAGAGCTTAATTCGGTTGTCAGGACAGCTACGGAGAAGGGGGATGAGTACCTGAACCCCTTGTTCTTCCCAGCGCTCCTGGCCACCGCCCCGGGGCGGAGCACCTGCGGGCTGCAGAGGGGCGGACCACGTTTCCCAGAGGCGCTGGAGGCGGGCTCCCGGGGATGGGGGACCGGTCTGCGGCGAGATGTGGAGCCGGCCTGCGCGCGCGCACCAGTTCTAGCGGACTCTGGGAGCGTGCGCAGACGCGGGGTGCGCTAGGAGGAGCGATCAAGGTGGCATTCGAGCGGAATGCTGACCGGCCACCGATTCTGGGCACGATGAGACCTGGAGAGGAACGACCTGTGGAAGGGGGAGCCTGCGGCGGCGCCTCCGACTTGGAACTGCTGAAGCTGCGCGCGGCGGAGAGCATCGACGAGGCGGCCGAGCGCCTGGGCGCCTTGAGCCGCGCCATCTGGAGCGAGCCCGAGCTGGCCTACGAGGAGCACCATGCCCACGGCGTGCTGACGCGCTTCTTCCAGGGCGAGCCACCGGCCGCCTCTTGGACGGTGCAGCCGCACTACCAGCTGGCCACCGCCTTCCGCGCCGAGTGGGAGCCGCCGGGGGTCCGGACGGCGCCGAGGCCGCTGCACCTGGGCTTTCTGTGCGAGTACGACGCGCTGCCTGGCATCGGGCACGCCTGCGGCCACAACTTAATCGCCGAGGTCGGGGCGGCGGCGGCGCTGGGCGTGAAGGGGGCTCTGGAGGGCCTCCCCGGGCCGCCTCCGCCAGTAAAGGTGAGGTGGGGCCCAGGCGCGGGACTCCCATAACCAGCACGACCTGGGAATGGCAGGACCCGCTGCATTACAAATGCACCTGTGTCGCCCCGACTCGGGGCAGGTGTAAGGGACGGCGCTAGAGATCCCAGCCTCGCCTCTGCCCGAAGGCAGAACCCCTGGATAAAACTTAATGAGTTGCCGACCTAGCGATACTTTGCAGATTTTGGGGTTTTGTTTCCTCTTAGGTAGTTGTAAAGAATTGAGTGGATTCTCTCGAAAAACTTAGAACCAAGCCTGGTTTTTGTTACGGCTTATTTATTTTGGTAACAGTAGCCACCGCAATGTGCTGATAAGGTTGTGCAATCTCTGGAGGAAGTAGTTGTAGGGAAACCTACAGCCCTTAGGCTCCCCTAAAATATTTTGTTTGTGGCAGTCATAGAAGCTGTTGTGATTTGAATCATTGGTTTTTGGTTAGGATATTATACTACCAAACCTCTAGATGTATACAAAAAATTGGGAACTGAATGGATTTACTGCATAGATGTAGTTGATCTTTGAGTCTTAATGTTTATTTCGTGGTATTAGTAAATATCTCCGTTCTTTAAATGGGGAAATGTTTACTTTTGTCATAGGGCAGGTTTAATCCTGTGTTACTCTGTTTTTCCAGATGATATATTCTTCATTCTGTGAGCTAAGATGCAATCATCACCATTCAGGTTAAAGGGAAGACTAATGTTTTATTTTATTCTTTAGCTCATTCTCCCCCCTCTCCCCCCAATGTCAGTAACCTTTTGCTTTCATCCTAACAGTTCCATATTTTGTGACTTTTTCTGTTTAGCTGCTTTCTCTCTTCTGCCTCTGGGGACTTGTTTTTGCATCTGGTTAGGTTTTTGTTTTTTGGGGGTGGGGCATCCTTTGCCTTTGCATGAAACAGTGAAGAGATTTAGCTTTAACCAGGTGTTTGAGAAGTTCGTAGATGTTAGCAAGATTTAACTTGAGAAGTCATCATATTTACCTAGTAAAGAGTTGAGGCTTTAAAGTAGCTTCATTTAAGAGTTTGGGTGCTTTATAACTTCTAAAGAAAGCTAGTCTTTGGGAAATGTACACACTTCTGATTTTGAATGGTAAGCTGAGTTTTTTTTAGCAAGGTTATCTGTTCTACCTGAAAATGAAATTTATGATGATTCCCTTTGCAAGACAAGACTTTCTCCAGCTTGTTACATTGTGTCCTTATACATGATCTTGAAAATAATTAGTTGTTCATAGATATTTTTTCTTTGCTTTAAAATTTTTTTTGAAGAAGTTAAACTGAAATATCAAAGTAAAATGTTTATTCTGCACAGTTCTCTTTTGTTTAATTAGGTGTGTGATGACCAATAAATGTTTGGTGCCTGATTGAACTGGTGGAATCGAATTAGTAAGTGTGTGTAATAGTTGGCCATTTCTAACCATGGTTTTAAGATTTAAGATTTATTAATGCTCTTCATAAAGGATTAATGAATTAAGATCTTTTAATGAAGTAGCTTAGCAAGGAACAGGCCTGAACATCTAATCCCAGTTCTCCCTGCAAATGTGCTCTGTGACCTGGGGCAATACTCTTCACCCTATGCCTTGAAACCACCCTCTTTAACATGATGTTATAGATTGCTCACCTACCTCACAGGGTTGTTGTGAGGAGAACTAATAACTGGAAAGTTCCTTATGAGTAAAGTGCTTATGAATAATTATGTACCTAAACTGAAAGACTTAGTCAAGAAGACACTTTAGGAAATGAGTCTTAAGGAATTTTGAGGAACTTAGTATATAGTATTTATCTTTTTCATCATTGCCATTTGTTTTATAAAATTGAGTTCTATTTTGAAATTCTTAGGATATATTCCCAGAAGTAGGATTGCTGGGTCAAACAGCAGATCCATTTTTAGTTATTTTGAGGGAACTCCATACTGTTTTCCACAGTGGCTGTACCAGTCTGCATTCCCACCAGCAGTATATCAGGGTTCCCTTTTTTCCACATCCCTGCCAGCACTTGTTGTTTGTTGGTTTATTGATGGTAGCCATTCTGATAGGTGTGAGGTAATACCTCATTGTAGTTGTAATTTGCATCTCTCTGATGATTTGTGACATTGAGCATTTTTCATATCTTAAGAATCCTGAAACACCAATCAGAAAGAATATATGCATCCCTATGTTCATAGCAGCACTGTTTATAACAGCTAAGATGTATTTACAATAGGAAATAGCCCAAGTGCCCATCAGTATATGAGTGGATAAAAAAGCTGTGGTACATTTACACAATGGAACATTATGCAGTTGTAAAAAGGCAAGGATCTCTTACCCTTTGAGAGAGCATGGATGGACCTGGAGACTATTATGCTTCGTGAAATAAGCCAATTAGAGAAAGACAAATATCACATGATCTCACTTACAAGTGGAATCAAAAGAACAAAATAGGTCCAGAGGTATAAGTGCATGAAACAGAATAACAGATCTCGGGGTGGGGGTGGACAGGAAGAGATTAACCAACAAATGTATATGCATAACCCATGGACATAGACAATAGCATGGGGAAGGCCTAGGGTGGGGTGGAGTTGGATTGAGGGAAGCAAAAAAGGAGAAAGTGGGAGACATCTGTAATACTGTCAACAAAAAAGGAAAATAGTTTTAAAAATTGAGTTGTAAAATTAGGAAAAGTTTTTTTGTCAGAGAACAAAACATCTCTTCATAGTTTAAGCATTTAATGTAGATTGTGAATACATATGCAAGAGAACTTGTTTGACATTTTCCTACTAGGATTTTTTGTTCTTTTGTTCTGACACAGGTATTTCCTTCTAGGTAATTGTTCTGGGAACCCCTGCAGAAGAAGATGGTGGTGGCAAAATTGATTTAATTGAAGCAGGGGCTTTTAAAAATCTTGATGTTGTTTTTATGGCCCATCCATCCCAAGAGAATGCTGCTTATCTCCCTGATGTGGCTGAACATGAGTAAGTAATCAAGTTGAAATACACTTCTTAGTGGAAAACAGACTATTAGAATACTTTTATGTCTTTTTTTTTTAGAAGAACAAATTTATTGTCTTATAGTTCTGGAGACATGAAGTCTAAAATCAGGTGACAAGGCCAAGGTCCCTCTGAAACCTGTAGGGAGTATCCTCCTGCCTCTTCCAGCTTCGGGTAGCCCCAGGCATTCCTTGGCTTGTGGCAGCCTAATTTTAATCTCTGCCTCTTCACATGTCTTTCCTCTGTGTCTCCAGAATACTTTTATGTCTTAACTGGAGACTAAAACTCCATATTTACACATTTAAAAAGTAAATTGAAAGATAACGATGTGATGTCTTACTTGATTTCCACTGAATCATATTTGGTAAGCCTTTTCTAATTGAAATTTAATATGATGTTCATAAATGGATCATTAAAATAGTGCCTAAAAAGTATAAAAATAGCAAACAGAGTACTTGACACATGTTCTATTTTGAACTGAGTATAATCTGGTTTCTGGCATTTGATATGAAGGCTTTGCAACTGATTTGCAAGAGGCAGCTTTATTAGACTTGGAAAGAAGACACACTTCTCTAGTTTACTTATTTTAATTTGACTTCTTTGAAAAGAGGATAAATTCCTGAGCAAGAATGTAGAAACTGACTAGCTATAATTTTAGTGAAGTGGGACAATCCATACTTTTCTGATGTGTCTGGTGCTGAATCCTTTTATTTATCTTTCTTTATGTTGAAGAGCTCGCTCTCTTTTGGTATCTAGGAGCATGCATTATTGAAGTGGTTTGAATTTTGTGCACCAGAAATTTCAACCACGAGGCCTTGTTTTCAAAGAGTGACTATTATAACTGTTCTGGTATCTTTGTTCTTATCACTGGGAATTGGTGGTGTGACAGTAGGGAGAATCTTTAAACTTTGGTTTTAGGGGTGGTGTATACTAGTACACCTGTGAAAAACTGTAGCAGTTAGAAATCTCTGCCAATGCCTCTGGCTAGAAAGGGGCCTGCAGCTGCAGGCAGGCTTCCCAGCCCATTAGCCTTCTAGGATTTAGGGTTAGGCTTCTTGGTCTTTTTTTTTTTTATCCTCACCGGAGGACTTTTTTTTTTGCATTTATTTTCAGATAGAGCAAGAGAGAGGGAGGAAGAGAGAGAGAAACATCAATGTGAGAGAGAGATACATCAAGTGGTTGCCACCCACATGACCCCAACCAGGGCCGAAACAGGAACCAAACCCGGGACACTCTGGTCCACAGGCTTACATTCTAACCGCTGAGCCAAACCGACCAGGGCAGCTTTTTGGTCTTGATACTGGTCAGTCCAGTTGGCCTGAGGCTTTTTCTTATGTCTGATGTCTTAGATTTTTTTTATTGTCCATCTTTTCAGGTGGAAAAGAGAACAAAAACAAAAATTAAAATGTAAAGAATTACTAATCTCTTCATTCTAAATATCTCTAACCAAAAAAATTTTTAAATGGCACTAAGTCCCTACTGACCACCTTTCCCACGTCTAGTCCCTCCTCTAGAGGTATATATTGTAGCGGTTCCTCTATAAGTTGAAGAAGGGAATGAACACAGAACATAAGACACACAGAACACAAGACATACAGAAGACAAGACACACATAGACAGGACATGGCTGCAGCCCCGAGTGCTTGCAGCAGTTTATTTTTAAAGGCAAAGGTTTGGCAACCAGCCCTGCTTACTTAGCAGCTTTATTGGACTTTGTTCCTTATTTTCTCCTTGAACCCTTTATTTGAATAACATAGTCCCTTATCTGTTCAGTACTGTTCTTGGTAAGAATGTCCCCAGGAAGGTCAGTGCATGCAACTGTTCCTTCAGGCTCCCCCTGTTTGTAGCGTAGGAGTGCCTGAGCTCGTTTGCAAAGCTTCAGGAATGATCGTGGGAATGCAATAAGGTTCAGCCGTTTGCAGCTGCCCTTAGTTGTCTTTAGTATGTGGGTCTCACTTTAGTGATCCTCAGAACTCCTTCATATATCCTTTCAGGACTTCTGGTTATATTTACAGACATAATAAGTAGGGACATGTATAAATTAAATTGTAAAGGAGGATTTCCACTCTGAAATACTCTGCTAAATAGGTTATCGGTCTGCTTATTGCTTTTTAAAATTAAACAATATGGCCCTGGTCGGTTTTGCTCAGTGGTTAGAGCTTTGGCCTGCGGTCCAGAGAGACCTGGGTTCGGTTTCCGCTAGGGGAACGTACCTTGGTTGCAGTTTGTCCCCGCCCCGGTAGGGGTTGTGTGGGTGGCACACACAACCAGTTGATGTGTCTCTCTCCCATTGGTGTTTGTCTCTCTCTTCCTCCCTCTCTCCCTCCTGCTCTGACATGCAAAAATGTCCTCGGGTGAGGATAAAATAAAATAAAATTAAGTTAAACAATATGTCCCATACTTACCTGGCAGGGGAGATACTATTGTTGTAACCCAGGAGATCGACCATACTCAGACTCCATTTTTCAGTTTTTGGGGATGTTTTATTACCTGCGCAGGGACTGCAGCCAACCTACACAGAGGAGAACTGCAGCCCCGAGCTCAGGGGGAGGGTTGCTTATATAGGGCAGGGGTCATTCAAGAGTTTAGCAGAGCAAGCAAGCTGCTTGTACAGAAGCGGAGGCAGTTATCGATAAGCAGGAGGGAACGGAGGTGGGAGGGAGCTGAGGCGAAAGGGAACTGGGTAAACTGGGTCAGCATACATCTATTCTGCTATTCATTCCATTATCCAAGTTTTAAAAACTAACAAATTCGAGACGGGTATCAGCGGATATCAGCGGTCAGTCAGGTGCAATACACACATGTTGAACAGTTACAGTTTTATGGGGTAAAGGGAGCTTCAGTTTCTCCCTATCAGTTTCTTTACAGAGCATGCAGGACACTCTGGCCTTGGGGCCGTTTCTGTCCTCCCTTTTCTTGAAGGATGTTGCTTTTCAAATTCCCAGTGAAGGTCAAACTCTAGTTAATTTTTATGGGGCTAAAGCCCTCTATAACATTCCCCATTGTTCATCTTGCTGTCTCTGAGGTTGTTAATTAGGGCAGCTCAAAGACAAGTTGGATTCTAAGGACAGTGAGCTACAACACTATGATCATAAAATTAAATATGTGTTGAAAATCATTCCATATCATTTTGTATAAATATATGCTTGTTAAGCCTAAAATACTAATGCTAATACAAAACAATCATTAACACTTATTTTCTTGCAGTTCGTTGTACTTTAATTGTGCATAGGTCTGAACTGTGGAAGAAATGGTGCTAGAGTCGTTTTCATAAAGGACATGCTTCTACGTTCTATACATTTGTCACAGTTTTGTTGAAATTCCAGTTTCAGGGTGATGGTGATAAGATATATAGCAAGGAATTAACAAGTATTGTAAAATCTTAGAAATATGTTTGGTCGCCCTGGCTGGTTTGGCTCAGCAGTTAGAGCATCGGCCCACAGACCATAGAGTCATGGGTTCGGTTCCCGCTAGGGGCACGTACCTTGGTTGCAGTTTGTCCCCGGCCCCGGTTGGGGTCATGTGGGTGGCAACCACTGGATGTGTCTCTCTCACATTGATGTTTCTCTCTCCCTCTTCCTCCTTCTCTCCCTTCTGCTCTATCTGAAGATAAATGTAAAAAAAAAAAAAAAAAAAAAGTTTGGTCTCTTTTACTTCTTTTTGTTTTGGTAACAAAATGTTTGGAATCAGGAAATACCATGAGCACTCTAGGAACTCCTGACTCTAGCCCATTTTTTAAAAAGTCTAGCCCTGTCGCCCTGGCCAGTTTGGCTCAGCGGTTAGAGCATCGACCTGCGGTCCAGAGAGACCCGGGTTCGGTTCCCGCTAAGGGCACGTACCTCGGTTGCAGTTTGTCCCCAGCCCTGGTTGGTCGTGCGGGTGGCAACCACTTGATGTGTCCCTTCACATCGATGTTTCTCTCTCTCTCTCTTCCTCTCTCTCCCTCCCGCTCTGTCTGAAAAAATGCAAAAATGTCCTCGGGTGAGGATAAAAAAAAAAAAAAAGTCTAGCCCTGTAGCAGGGTGAAGCTCAGTGGTGTGGCCTCCTGTGTGGTCTGGTGTAATTGACTAAAGGGAGCAGAAGCTGTCTTCTGTGCTAAACTTAGGGAAGTAAGGGAGTGGGGGTGGGGGCCATGGTTCTTAATAACTAAAGCATCCTCAACTTGTATCCAGGCTTCTAACATTCATGAGTTGGTCTCTGGTTTTTGACTGTGGAAAGCAACTAACCAGTATACTAAAAATAAAATAAAATGAACACAAAGATGCAAGTTGGAAATTGAAGTGTAAAATGCTGTTTTGTTTTGGTTTGTTTTTCTCAGAGTAGAGTTACCTTAATGATTTCTTTTAAAGGTCTTTTTGATGCTTCTATATGAAGCAATTTTTGGAAGTAACTGGATCTTCTGGGAAATCTTAAAAGGCTCTTCTTCAGTAGGACCAAAGAATTTCCCTGACAGAACACTTTATTTAGGAGTTGGCTTGCTAAATTTGAACCCAGCTCCCAGTAACCAGTTTGGAGAAAGTTGGCTTCTAGGGCATAGGGGATGTTAGAAAGCCCTTGGCTTCCCTCATGAGTAAAATAAGTTTATTCCTTCGTAGTTTGGTGATGGGAGCGTCATGTGAATTGTGAGATGTAGTAGGAGAAGCCCCAGAACTTCCCTGTCAGTTACATTCAGGTCTGTCATGTTCAGTCTTTGGTAGAAAGGGCTAAAGCTTTAGAAAGATGCCCACATTTCAGAACATCATGAAAGACACAGTCTAATAAATAAGGTGGAAACCTCAGAAAGTGGATATTTTTTTGGAGACGAGGCAAGTACATTTAATGGAGAGATTATATGATCCACATTACACTTAGAAGAATGCTAATGAGGGTGCATTGTGGAGGTCAGAAGTTTTTAGAAGATTAGTAACAGCTTCTTAAAACTGGTAACATCTCAATGAAGTCTATTATTTTCTTTCCATGTGCACTCTGAATATAGTAAGAAAGATCAATTATCTTTTAATTGATAATAGTAAGAAAGATCAATTAGCTGTTAATCCTAAGTAACAACCTCCCTGGCTGTACTAGGAGCTAGAAATAGCAGTATCATTAAGATCGGCTCTGGCAGAAGGGAAACCAAAGGAATTTTTATTTAGAAAGAAATAAGGAAGTAGGCAAGAAAGTAGTGATGACATGCGATCTAGTCTGGGGGAGAAACAAGGTAACCAGTTGGGCTTTAAAATATTTTCTAAGCAAGTCATCTTTATAAATAATAGGCAATCCTTCTCTAAACTTTATTATTGTTTGTGTGTGTGTGTGTGTGTGTGTGTGTGTGTTTACTGTATCTAAGTAGTTAGACTGTTTAGTTAGTCTAAGTTAGACTAAGTAGTTAGTCCTCAAATAGGACTATTTGAAGTGGAATAACAATAATTTATAAAATTATATCAGTGTTATAGATATTTTGGAACATTAATAAAATATTGGTCAGGAACAACTGACTTAATACTAAAGTATCCTATCGTGTGAGTATAATCTGATTTTTACAGGTTGTCCTAACCCATTTCAGATGTCACCTTTCTCTTTCCTTGACCTTCCCCAACCCTTAAGAATTATCTGAGTTTTTACAGACCTTTGATATAGAATTATCACAGTGATGTGTAGAAAGAGACATGAGTCATCTTTTTTGTAATTCCAGCACCTAATACAGTATTGCATATTTGTTTAAATTGAATTGTATACAGATTTAATTTGCATAGGAAGTTGATTGATCAGTTTCTCTTTTTCTCTCTCACTTTTTTTAGAATGCCTTCTTTGTGTCAGTCACTGTATTATGTAATAATAAACTACAACTAGGATACATAAATTGCTGTTACTGCTACAACTTTTTTTAAAACAATTCTAGCAGTGTGAATTAATTTAAATACTAGTTGGATAATTCTAACTACTTGGATTTTCTTACTTTAGTGATATTGAAAAAAGTAATTCCAATTGATGTTTTATTTCCTAGTGTGACTGTGAAATATTATGGAAAAGCATCTCATGCTGCTGCTTATCCCTGGGAGGGAGTGAACGCATTAGATGCTGCTGTTCTCGCCTATAACAATTTGTCTGTGTTAAGACAGCAAATGAAACCAACCTGGAGAGTTCATGGTACGAACTGTTTTGTGTAATAGGTGGTGCTTAATGTATTTCAGTGCAATATAATTACTTAATGTTGGATTTTTTTAAAACATTGGAAACATTTTATGTACTAATTGAGTACTTCAAAATATGTAAATATTTTCAGAATTTATGTGACAGGATGCTAAGATGTTTGTCTTTTTATGGGTAAGAAGACATATACAATTATTAAACAGAAATGGAATAGTCATATTGAGTATTAGAGGTCAGTAGTTTTATATAAGGATATATGTTCTTTCTGTGGTCGTTTACAAGTTGGAACTTGATTTTGCAGTTGTCCTGTCTCTTAATGATAACCACATTTTGTCATTTCCTCAATTTAAAAAAAGTTATGGTTGCTGGTTTTATTTTCTCAAGTGCTGTTAATCCTAAGTAACATCTTTTAAAATTATGTATATCACCTTAATATAAATACAGTAATAAAGTACTGTCTTGAAGGTACAGTTTTATTTTTTAGTTTATTTCCTTATGATTTAGAAATTATTATACTTTAATACCTATTTTTTTTACCTGATTTTGCTATAGGCTTAAATTAGTTTGTAATTACACTTTTACCAATCTCCCATCTTATTTTCTAAAAGGAATAAGCAGAAATATGTAACAATAATATTTTTAAAAAGTAGGTATATAAAATTAAATTTTGCATATCTATTTTAGTTATAACTTTGAGTAGCTAAATCTTCCTTCTCTGTGTAGTTCCAAATAAATGCATTTATTTTAACAGTTAATAGTACTTAGCGATCTTTGACACATTGGTTTATTTTTAACATGAAAATTATTTTCTCAGAGCCAAATGCCTTTTAAAATACTCATGTGATTCTTGAGGTACAAGGGTAGTTAAGGAACTTCACACTTTTGGGGTTTTTTTCTCTTCTCATTGAAACTTTATCAAAATGTACAACTGTAATATAAGCTGCTGAAATAAAAGTATTTTCCAGAAGGCTTAATATAGTTATATAATTTCTGATAGTTTTTTTTATAGCCAGGATTAAAAATTTCTTATAAATTCCTTAGGATGAAGTACATATAGACAGTTATTTTATTTCTTTTCCTATTAGCCAGAAAGTATCACCATATGATATGTAGAAAATTTTGTTGTACAGCAAAATCTTTGATTGGTATATCTGTGAAGTAAATAAGTTAAAAAAATTTTTTTATGTACATATTGGCTGAAAAACGTTATGGGTGTATTTAAGCTTAGAGAAATGGTCTCCAAACTCCAAGCTCAATTCCAGTAATTTGATTCTTTTTATAGGTATAATAAAAAATGGTGGTGTAAAACCCAATATAATTCCCTCTTATTCTGAATTAATCTATTACGTCCGTGCACCCTCAATGAAAGAACTTCCAGTTTTGATCAAAAAGACAGAAGATTGCTTCAGAGCTGCAGCTTTGGCTACTGGGTGCACAGTAAGAACTTTTAAGAGTTAATCTAAATTTATAATCAGAAGTATATAAGTGGGCTGGGGTTGTTTATATTAAGTAGATTAGAACCTTACTTGCTTCTTTTTCATTTGGTAACGTCTTGAATATATAAAATCAGTTGACTGAATAGTTTATGTGAAAGTCTTCACTTATTGCCCCCCGCAAGGTGAATTGTGCAATATGAATTAAATTTCAAACTCCTGCCCCTTTATTAAAAAGCAGTTTCAGCCCAGCCTGTGTGGCTCGGTGGTTGAGTGTCAACCCATGCACCAAGAGGTCACCAGTTCAATTCCCAGTCAGGGCACATGCCCAAGTTGTGGGCCAGATCCTCAGTGGGGGGCATATAGGAGGTGGCCAGTCTATGTTCTCTCTCATGGATATTTCTCTCTCTCTCTCTCTCTCTCTCTCTCTCTCTCCCTCTAAAATCAATAAAGAAAAAAAATTTTTTTTAAGTCTTCACTTATCTATTTTACTCAGTGTCTATGCAGGGAAGACTACAGTCATCTTATCACAGTAATTAGATTAACTCTGCTACTGCTGATCTGGAATTCTTGCCTGTTGCAAGTTATAGCCTTCCTTGTTGATAGTTTGCTTTTAGAATTGCTCTGTACAGTTTCTATAAAGGAAACTTTATGACAAAATCAGCAAAGGCTATTTTTGGCTAAGTTCTAGATATGTGTGGTAGGGATGTAAATACTTATATCTTGCTGGAATGAAACTTAAAATAGTCACAGAAGTTAGTCAAGAGGTTTTGTTCACTTGTACCATGAAATCAGTAACATTTATATACCAATTATGTGAGGCATACAGTGGGATGAGAAGTTACAGAATGACACACATTTTGCCCAGGTTGGAGCCAGTATTCTAGTTGGAGAGATGAGATCTGGATCTGTGCCTCTCTCAATCTCACTGACTCTCTAGCTTTTGGAAACATTGTTTAATATTTCTTGGCCTCCATTTTCTCTTGAAAAATGGAGATAATATAATCTATTTTAGGGTTCTTGTGAGAATTAAATGAGATAGTGTTTATGAAGAGTTAGAGTCTAACCGTCACACATAATACCTTCTTTTTTGCTGCCCTCGGTAGACTGAGGTGTAGGATTTATTCACATAGTAGCAGTGTCTCAGTCAGTAACAATGATTCTCAGACAGGATATGTTAAGTATCCAAAGAATAAAAAAATTAAGCATTTAGCCCTTGTTTATTTATAATTGTAAATATTTTAAATATTTTAAAAATATATTTTTAATTGATTTTTTAAATAGAGAGGAAGTGAGAGGGGGAGAAAGATAGAAACACCGATGAGAGAGAAACATCAGTGGGCTGCCTCCTGCATGCCCCATACTGGGGATTGAACCTGCAAACCTGGGCATGTGCCCTGACTGAGAATTGAGCTGGTGACCTTTTGGTGCATGGGACGATGCTCAATCCACTGAGCCACACCAGCCAGGCTTAAATATTTGTTTATAAAATAAATACATGAACTATGATCTTTCGCTAGTATCTCACGATGTAATATTCCCTTAGGTTAAGGTTCTTTGTTATTGGATTTCGATCTGTATTTTAAATAGTCTTTTAGTAACTTTTTATATTTTGGTTGACTTGTAATATCTGGTTAGGTTGTCATTGTTGCTAGGAATAGATGTCATCTCTGCCATTTTATAATTGGTTTTTGCTAATGTTCTAGGTATTATCTTTAGTTTGAGGGAGTATTGCCCATTTTGATTTAATCAAAACTAAATCTGTAAATTCTGAATCTTCTTTCTCTCAGGGTACCTTTGTACCTTTCCGACCAGGCAATGGTGTCAATGTTAGTCTGTATATTGAATATTAGTAAAGCTTAATTTCTTATTGTAGAGGTCACAGACTAGAACAGTGTTTCTTAGAGTGTTTGGACCACCTGCATCAGGATTACTTGGGGGTGCTGGTTAAAGTAGAGATTCTGACTCTCTCCCATACCCTACTGAGGTGACTAAAGTTGAGACTCACTGGCTAGTAGAGCTAGGTGACATCATGTAGTTTGGTGCATATATGACACAGGAGATAGGGTCCTAGGAACTCTCGTTAGTAGAAAATACATATTTTTGTAAGGTAAGAGATTTGAGAGAGTTTACATACTCTCTTAACCCCCCTCTTAACCTTTTTCTAGTAAATAAAACATTGCTGGTTTGAAATTTAGATAGTAAATTTGAGTTTTTTATTTCAAAATATTTTTTTTTAATTTTATTTTAGGTAGAAATTAAAGGTGGAGCACATGATTATTACAATGTCCTTCCCAATAAGAGCTTATGGAAAGCTTATATTGAAAATGGGGAAAAGCTGGGAATAGATTTCATTTCAGAAAATGATGCAGTTTTGAATGGCTCTTCAGGTAATTAAGATATTTTATATATTACGCTATTTGAGGAAGGGAAATACCATCTTTGATTGAATTGTTTTGTTTAGTAGCTTTGAAGGCAAGGAGGTATTGCTGATGTTTTAAATGATATTTTTTACAAACTTAATGGTTAGGGGAAGGAAACTAATGAACCTCTTCAGTGATTGTAGAGTGTCAAATGAGCAGATTTGTTTTTAGAAATAGCCAACATACATTTTGCTTTATATTCTAAATATTTCTAGTGTTAAATTTGCTTAGTTCTAACTTTTTAAAATGATTTTTTATTTTTCAGTTACAATTGGTTAACATACAATATTATATTAGTTTCAGGTGTATAACCCAGTGTGATTGGACATTATATAACTTAGTAAGTGATCACCCCATTACAAACAAGTTTTAAATAACCTACTAATAGGGGAAATAGAATTTAAATTCATTTTTAGTCATCAGTATACAGGCTACTAAGTACTTAAATAGTTACATGGGGTCATTTTTGGTTTCTGAGAAATAACAAACAACTATTAAAATTTAAATAATCAGCCTGGCCAGTGTGGCTCATTGGTTGAGCATCGACCCATGTACTAAAAGGTCACGGGTTCAATTCCTGGTCAGGGCAGATGCCCAGTTTGTAGGCCAAATCCCCAGTGGAGAGCGTGCAGAAGGTGGCCAGTTGATGTGCTCTCTCATCAATGTTTCTGTCTCTCCCTCTTCCTTTGTCTCTCTCTAAAATCAATAAAGAAAAAGATTTTTTTATATTCTCATTTGAGGACATTTTTGTATTTATCTTCAGATAGAGTGGGAGGGAGAGAGGGAGGAAGAGAGAGAGAAACATCCATGTGAGAGAGAGACATCTACTGGCTGCCACCCATATGACCCCAACCAGGGCCAGGGACAAACTGCAACTGAGGTACATACCCTTAGTGGGAACAAAACCCGGGTCTCTCTGGTCCACGTGCTGATGCTCTAAACTCTGAGTCAAACAGACCAGGGCAAGAAAAAAAAATTTTTTTTTATTTAAATAATCATAAGTGTATTGGGGGTTATTTTGGATTTTTTTCCTCTTAAAAACATTATTACTAATACATTTGCATCTTAGAAATGTATCTCCTAAACTATAATCATAGATATTGATGAAGTAGACTCTGAAAGACTTGGTGATAAAAATGGGGTGCCGATCTCATTCATTAAGATAAGAAGTTCAGGAGAATGAACAGGTTGGGGTGTGGGGAGTTGGTATAAATAATTCATATGTTAAATATGAGGTGCTTACAGGATTTCTAAGAGGAGCTGTCCAGTAGCCTGTTGAATCTAGAACCCCCAGAAGATATCTAGGTTGGAGATTTAGGAGTTTTCAATGTCTGAAAGGTCATTGAAAACAGTTGTTGAGGTTGCTCAAGAAATCCTAGGGATCACTAGCAGTTACTACACAAACAAAGGTATCAATCTAGAGAAGGAGATGGAGAGTGATCAGAGAAGGACAGACAATCAGGAGAGAGTGGAGTTATAGAAGCCACAGGTGTGGAGAATTTCTAGAAGGGAAGGAGCAGTAAATCATGACAGGTGCTAAAGAGGCTGAATAAAGTAAGTATAATCTAGTATCCATTGGACCAGCAATGAGAAATTCATGGATTGTCTTACCTTTTCAAGGATCTACTGATTTTGGAAATGTTAGTTTTGTCGTTCCTGGAATTCACCCATATTTCTACATTGGCTCTGATGCCTTGAATCATACAGAAGAATATACTGAAGCTGCTGGTAAGTATTATTAGAAGTGAATGTTTTGGCACATGCTCTCCTTTTGTAGTAGTAGCTGCCTTTCTGATTGTTTAGTGTAACCTATTGTTATTACATTACTTAACATCACCTCAGAAAGCACTATGTTGTGGTGGGCAGTGGAGAGGCAATTTAGATGTTGAGAGCTAATATGAAAACTAATAAGTTAATTTATGATAATATGGAAGTATTTTAATTTGTCTTCTCTACCTTTTAGGATCACAAGAAGCTCAATTCTATACTTTGCGTACAGCCAAAGCACTGGCAATGACTGCGTTGGATGTTATTTTTAAACCAGAGTTGCTGGAAAGAATCAGAGAGGACTTTAAATCAAAACTTCAAGAAGAAGAGTTTTTAAATAGAGTAGAATAAAAGGAAGATTTAGGAGCCACTTATGGATCATTAAGAAGAAATTATGATTTATTTTCTGTAATCTTTTTTGATGAAGGAGGAGGGCATGCTTGTTTTTCAATCTTAGAGGAGTAAAATCTCTCTTACCTAAAAAGTGAGGACCTGGTGTGGTGAAAACACATCAACTCTTAGGTAAATTAAAATTTTCACAAGTTTATATTTGATGGAATTGTGATCTTTCAGGAGCTGGTATGTGGTTGCATTTCTTAAACAACTTGGATGATACACGGTTTATCAGTGATAATAGTTTATAAATCCATATGTTGTGTAAGTACATTTCAAAAGATCATAGGGGCTTCAAAACTTATATTCAGAATTTGACACATGAAAGATTTTTTTCTGGTATAGGGTGGTAAAATTGTTCTATAAAGTATTTTTAAAATTCAAGTTCTAAATTTGGGGGAAGTTCACTTTGATGTCTGACTGTGTTTTGGTTTAGAGGCTGTTTTCATTAATAATAAAAGTAGGTTTTTAATCAGAAATGCTGTGGGAAACAACCAGAAATTCAGTACAAAGAATAAGCTTTGGTTTTACCATTTGAAGGAAAAATAAAATGTTCATATTTTAAATAAAATTAAGTCTGAGAAGTGTTACTAAAATTTTGTTCCTAAGTCCATATTACTATAATAGGAAAAATTATAGATGCATAGTATTGGACTCATCCTGTAAGGTGTTTGCTTGGTAGCCTAGTGTGTTCTAAGAGGACTTAATAAGAGAGGAACAATGTCTACTTACTTTGAGTGTTAATGTCATGTAACTACTCTGGCTTCTACTCAAAAGCCAGCCTGTGTAGGCTGGGTGCACATTATAGTTTACTGAGTTTAGAGGATAGAATTCTAAGCCTCCTTAAGCCCAATGCTAGCTAGCCCAATATTAATTTTAAAGTATTGTAAGTTTTTCTTGGTTCTTATTTTAATGTGATAAAAGAATGTTTAAAAAGTATCTGTTAAAGCAAACTATTTAAGTTATGAACATAGTAAAGCTTCAGTATATTTTAAAGGGAGTTTCTCAAATTTGAGGGTAAATATTCTAAAACGGAAGGGGAAGGAGTGAAAAGTGAGCATTTGGCCTCTGCTGTAAGTAAGTCACTTGGGCCCCTCTGAGCCTTCAGCTCTCCATTTGGAAAGTTAGAGTAAATCACTTACACTTACAGTCCTTTGAACCTCTAATTCCTAATAGTTTGGGGGAGTGTTGATACTTGAGAATTGCTTATCTTCTACATCGGGGGTCTGCAAATTATAGTCTGATTTGGGAAGCAGACTGATTTTATATGGCTAGCATGCTAAAAATGATTGGGGTGGGCAGGGAGCAGAAACAGACTAGATGATGTGACCTCAAAACCTAAAAGTATTTGCTATTTGGTCCATTACAAAAAATGTTTGCCAGCTCCTATCCTCTATAACAGTAGAATAAAACCTGTTTCTCTTTTATTTATATCATATAGTCAGATGTTCTCCTAGGATAAAACTCAAGTCTCTGAATTGAAAACATTGAGAAAAGGGATTTAGCTTTGGCTGGTTTGGCTCAGCGGTTAGAACATTGTCTCGCAGACTGGAAAGTCCTGGGTTCGGTACCAGGGCACGTACCTCAGTTGCAGTTTGTCCCTGGCCCTGATTGGGGTCGTGTGGGTGGCACCCACTCTGTGTTTCTTGCATTGATGTTGCTCTCTCTCTTCCTCCCTCTCTCCCTGCCGCTCTGTCTGAAGATAAATGCAAAAATGTCCTCGGGTGAGGATAAAAAAAGGGGGGTGGTGGATTTAGATGGCTGTGCCTTGACTTAACCATTACAAGGCAGCAGTTTGCCTCACTGGAGTTCTGCCCCTTCAGAAGTGTGCCTTCTTTCAGCATTTACTTCACTGCGAGATGCAGTTACCCTGCTGCCTTAAGACCTTGCCCTATGGAAGCCAGTCTTCTAACTTTTCATCTTAACTTTCAGAACTTGACCCTTTCCACCACACTTTTTGTCTGATTATTTATAAGCTCAAAAAGTCATGGTTGGTATATTATATATAGGGGAGGGATCAACAACAAAGGCGTCAGGCTGAGGATTGACTATGTCTGAGACCTCTGGTTTATATAAATAATTAGTTTCCTAATGATCAATTTTATAAATTTCTCAAGTCATATTTAAGTTCCTGCACTCAGGAATGTGGTTTTATTTTCTAAAACCTTGATAACATTCTAGAACACTGTCTGTAACCTGGTATCCCAACACACTGATATTCTCTCATCTTCTGTGAAGTGTCAGAAGATCATCGTTACTCATATAAAGTATCTGTATTTTTCTTGTGATTAAATTACTTTTTAAAAACAAGTGAGAGGAAATTGAAGATTAGCGTTCTGTGGCTTCGCTTGCATCTGGCAAGCATTCTTGTGTGGGACAGCAGGAAGTGGCCATGCCGCTGGCACGCAGGGAGTAAGTATAATGCACCTGCCGTCTGCCACCCGTCATAGTGAGGAACTGATACTGATGGATCACTAAGATTTGGGTCACGTTTGGGTTTCTGTAATACTTTATTTCTTTTTCAATTTTTGAAAAATTTGGTCCAAATAAATGTCTCCCCATTTGGAATATGCCATGCAATTATCGTCAGAAAAAAGGTTGAGCACTGATGTTCTAGAGTCTTGAACTATGAGGTTTTTTTTTCAGATCTTTACTTGTTTTACCTTATTTTACTTTAACAGTTTTTTAATATAATTCAGATTTTAAAATACCTTTTTACTTTTTATGTACCAGTGAGTTAATTGAGCCATATTACACTATAAAGTGTAAATAAATACATAAATAAATGCTGGAGTCAAATTCTTATGTCCAGAGCAACCAACTATAGCCAATCTTTGTTATGCCATTTGAATTTGGGAGAGTGCTTCCTTTTGTAGTGATAGTTTTTTCTTTTCTTTTCTTTTTTTAATTATGTTTTTATTGATTTTTTTTCGAGAGAGAAGGGACAGAGAGAGAGAAACATTGATGGGAGAGAGAAACATTGATTGGCAGCATACCCTCTACTGGGGATGGAGCCTGCAACCCAGGCATGTGCCCTGAGGAGAATCGAACCTCGACCTCCCAGTCCATGGGACGGCACTCAATCCACTGAGCTACATCTGCTGGGAAATAGTTTTTCCTTTTGGAACTTAGTTCTTTCTTTACTTTCATGTCCAGTGGCATGTTTTCTAAACAATTGTGCTAAATTTTCCTAAGTGTTTATTCTTAGCTTAAATGATCTTTGTTGGCTGGTTGGTTGGTTGGTTCTCATATTTTGGATAGAATTTCCAAAGATCTTGGAAGTTAAAGAGGGATGTATTAGATTATAGGTGAACAGTGTCACTTTTAGAAAGGTTATATTTAGCTCTTTATACTTAAAAGATCAGTGCTTGTTTTTAGGAAGTTGACAAATGAATAGACCTTTTAAATTTTGTATCTTGTTCTTGAGGAAGGGGGCAATATGTTTTTCTCCCAATTAGTTTGAATAATGACATTTTATTATCACTGAAATTCACTGATAATATATACCTATATATTGTATTTTATTCCTCCACTAGATTATGTATTTTTCAAAGCCACAGTCTTTTCAATTTGCTTAATTTGTTTCAGGTACACCTAACCCTCACTTAGTTGGGGAAAAAAGGCCAAGCTAACTTTCTGCAAAGTTTAAAATTATATAATTTTTAAAATATTGAGTTAGTCCCTGGCCAGTTTGGCTCAGTGGTAGAGTGTCGGCCTGTGGACCAATGAGTCCCGGGTTGGATTCTAGCCAAGGGCCCATACCTCGCTTGCGATTCATCCCCAACCCTGGTTGGGGTCATGCGGGAGGCAACCAGTCCATGTGTCCTGGTCACACTGATGTTTCTCCCTTTCTCTCCCTCCCACTCTATCTGAAGATAAATAGAAAAATATCCTTGGGTGAGGATTAAAAAATAAATAATAATAATAATAAAACATTGAAGTAGTTCTGACCTAGAGATATAGTTGGATCTGCTTGAGGTGTCTTTGTTTTTATGGAAAATGCTTTTTTTTTTTTTTACTATTGTGTAGTTTTTATTTCATAGTCATAAATTTAACTCTGCAATCCAGCTAGACTTGGAAGGGGTAAAGAAAATATGGAACCCAATGAACTTGCAGCAAGAGCATGAATATTATAGAAACATTCCATAGAAACATTCCACGCAGATGGGGGTGAAGGGGTGCTCTCCTGAGCTACAGAAAGAATGGTCTGGTAGTTAAGATAAAACACAAGTCAAATTTATTAGAGTTGTCCACTGTCAGCAATGGTGATCTTCTCGGTAATCTTGCCGTTCCTGGACCTGACACTCCATGGCTGTCATTAGCCATGCCCTCTTTCACCTGGCTGAAGACCACGTGCTTGCCATCCCACCACTCAGTCTTGGCAGTACAGATGGAAAACTGGGAACCGTTTGTGTTGGGTCCAGCATTTGCCACGGACGTGACGCCAGGACCCATGTGCTTCAGGATGAAATTCTCATCATCAAATTTCTCCCCATAGGTGGACTCGCCATCTGTGTCATTATGGCGTGTGAAGCCACCACCCTGGGACATAAATCCCGAAATAATCCTGTGAAAGCAGGAACCTTTATAACCAAATCCTTTCTCCCTAGTGCTCAGAGCAGGAAAATTTTCTGTTGTCTTTGGAACTTTGTCCACAAACAGCTCAAAGGAGACACGGCCCAAGGATGATCGCCCTGACGGTGATGTCGAAGTACACGGTGGGTTCACCATGGCTGGGCTCGAGAGGTTCCGCATGGCAGTGTCTGCAAGGCAGGTGGAAAATGCTTTTATTACATAACGTTTGGAGAGCCTTTTCCTCAAATTTCAACTTTTGGCTATCAGTAGGTGTAATCAAGTTGATGACCTAAATTTAATTACAGATTGAAAATGCTTTCTCTTTAATGACTTGATTTTATTTTTTCGCATCATCATTTATTTATCCCCTCTGTGCCCTCTTCTGGCTCTATCACCCCATCCCCCCACAGTCACCACACTGTTGTCCATGTCCATGAGTTCTCTTTCTCTTTTTCTTCCTCAATCCCTACACCTAGTGAATTAATTTTAAAAGCAGGCCTGAATATGGGCCTGTATAAATCGTGATACTATTAATAACCGAAGTTGCTATGTATCATATAAGATTGAGTACAGCTCGCCCTGGCTGGTTTGGCTCAGCGGTTGGAGCATTGGCCTGCAGACCAGAGAGTTTTGGGTTCGGTTCCTGCTAGGGGCACGTACCAAAAAAAAAAAAAAAAGATTGAGTATAGCTAATATTTAGCTTGCCTCTTAAAATTTTCAGACTGCTTTTCAGTTTCAACAAACTATTATTATATGAACTACTCAGGTAATGTTTCCCTTTTAATTACTCTTCCCTATAACATAAGAACTGGGGCATTTAAGATAAACTAGAATATTTGCATCTATTTATGAATACTTATGTAAACTGAGTGTTTTGATTTCCCACAAACCTCCAAGGACTGATTATTAATATAATTTATTGATATTTTAACTGTTAATTTAGCAGTTGAGTTCAGTGAACATTTATTTACTGAGGAGTGCCTACTTCCAAGCCCTGGAATGGTAAAAAGAAGAGTAATACATGACCCATGTCCCCAAAAGCTTGTGGTTGGTGATACATTCTCCTAAGACTTACTTAATCTGAACAACAGTGGGACTGAAGGAACATTTTATTATTATTATTATTTTTTATTCTTACCCAAGGACATTTTTCCATTTTTTGTTCAGATAGAGTGGGAGGGGGAGAGAAAGAAACATCGACATGAAAGGGACACATGGAGTGGTTGCCACCCGCATGACCCATCCAGGGCTGAGGACAAACTGTAACAGAGGTATGCGCCTTTAGTGGGAACCAAACCTGGGTCTCTCTGGACTGCAGGCCGACGCTCCAACCACTGAGCCAAACCGGCTAGGGCTGAAGGAACATTTTAAAGCTACTGTCTTGGAAATCTTGAAGTGTTTATAAAATATTTAAAAATATTGGAGTCATATCCATCTGTTCAGCCAGAAGAAATTGATATTAAAAAGTCTTTTTAAAAAGAATTACTGTCTAATTTTATAATATGCTCTTTTAAAAAAACCTTTCTGATAGTTTTTGTTTTATACATTTCTAACTTTTTACCTGAAACATCTCGTTAGTCTTTTGAAAAATATCCTTCTTGTACTAGCCTTCAAACTATCAAAGTAAATTTTCATTGTAAAAGAAATCGATTATTTTGTGCTAGCCAGCAACTCTGTAAGTTGTAAGGTATGATAACTATTTTATTTTTTTACATACTCCAGCAAGTATTTTGTAATCTAATTATATAGTTGAGGATGGTGCATTTTGATATGTATGAAGTTACTCCTTTCAAGTAAGCAGTCACTGTCTATTACCATCAGATTATAGTAGTTTAAAATATTTTAATACATATTAAAGTATGTATTAAAAAAAGTAGAATGTTAATAAATATGTTTAATAGCAGTTATATTGTGGTTTTTTCAACATCATACCTTTAATGAAAATATGTGAAGATAAAACACAATCACCCAAATATACTGTTTTATTCTCTCATTAGTTCTTCAGTATCACAGATGTTAATGTGCTTTTAAACTGTAAATACCATATTATTCATATAATGAGAATTTTAAAGAACAATTAAATCCTTTTGTTTAAAAACGAATGTCTTACTAGTCTCAGAAGCTGAAAAATACCAATGAAAATTGTACATGGTAAATGTTAGATACATAAGTATAGTACTGAGTTTTCTTTAAAAATGTTTTCAACTTCAAAGTAATTTTATGTAATACCTCAAATGCAATAGAACAGGTTTTTTTACTCTTATAAATGCTTAAAGTATAAGTGCCTCATATGAGAAAAATTTTAAGTATCCATGTTTTTTTTATTTAAACCGACTTTGAAAACAGAGTCCAAACCTACACCCCCCACCACCACCCTGGTGATTAAAATGTAAGATTAGCTTTGGTCAGTTAAGTGGATCAAAGCATCCAATCACCTTAAAAAATAAACCTCAAAAATATAAACTAGAAAAGAATAGCAAGTCGGGGTCTTAAATAGACAATCTTATTTAGGTTAAAAAAAACAGATGTTGCCGCACTGGGTGAACTATAAATTGCATTTGAGAGTTTGACTTTTTATGTATTTGTTCTGTCACTAATACCTGGCATAGTATTTTGTTTAGCTCAAGAGAATGGAAACAGTTCAAAAGTTCATGTCTTCCCAATTGAGTTTAATTTATTCAAAGAATACCAAACTTTCTAAATCTAAGCATCGTAGTGCTTGTAGATGATCCAGATTCAGGGTAATGATTGCTTCATGCCTTGTCATCTGTCCTGACACATTCTGCACAGGAAGATCATGTGTTGTGGTAGGAGAACCTTAAAGAGTGATAGGTACCTAAGTATCCCTTGACTATAAGAGTTCAAGTTTGCTTCATAGAGGGGTAGGATGCCACCTTTGAAGAAGTAGACTTACATGCAGTTGAAACCTAAAGCTTTAAATTATTGTCCAAGCTTATTCATCTCTGAACTGGTAAGTGGCATTAAATTTTTGTTCAGCCATAACATTTCTTCAAAGATGGAATAGTTTCATAGCAATTGTTTTGTATACCTTCCATAGTCTTTGGAAGGCTTTTAGTATCTGCCCATTCTCAAAACCCACTCAGGTGGGTTATATGTCCTTTAAGAGAAGATACCTTGTAAGAAAACTATATAATTTTATATATGTACGTATGTGTATATATGGAGAGCTTGTAATAGAAAATCCCAGGTGGAGATTGCAGCCATACTTCTTTTTAAAAAATCTCGAGGTGTCTCTCTCCAGTCAGATTTTCATTCATGGTCCCCAGCTGCTGATGTTGCCCTTACTCCACCTGCCATCTGTCACTTTTTAAGTTCTCCTGGCCTAAATATGATTTGTTTCATTGATCCAAAGTTAGACAAAAAAGAACCTAGGAAATCAAGGGAAGGAAATTATAAAATCTTAGAAATTAATTCATAAAGCACAAATTTATTTATTCTAAGATGACAATAATAATTTAACAAAAATTTTTTTCTGTTCTTACCTCAATATGTCACAACCATATTTACTACCTTTTAATATATGGCCTGATCTCTCCATTCCTTCTGCCAAAGAACTAGTTTTTCTGCATATTTGAAAGCATGTCCTTCATGTTGAATCAGTTGCTAAAGTTTGGGTTTTGAGGTTTGTTTTTTAACAGTCTGAAGGATCCTTCTTATACTGGGCTCCTTTGCAGACAGCCATCATTGAGTTCGTGGTTGGCTGAGCAGGAAAAACTTAATCTGGCTATGGTTACTAATTCCTTTTATGTTTCCTAAAGGACCAGTTTACCCTCTTCTGGCTCTCTAGAAGACCTACACTAACTGGAATGAGATTCTCATATGAGTGAGAAAACATTTGAATGAGCTCTCCTGGGAATTTAGAATTGACACAGGTTAGATGAATATGAGCCTTGAGATTTTAAGGTCAATAAATCTGGGAGTGAATGTCAAGTATGAGCAGAGAAAGACAATGCTGATAGGGAATAAAGCAGTCAAGCAATCACCTAGCAAGCAATCACCTACTACCTAAGAAAGATGTCTGAAATCTTTCTTTTTTTTTATCCTCACCCAAGGACACTTTTCCATTTTTTCAGACAGAGTGGGAGGGAGAGAGAGGAAGAGAGAGAGAGAAACATTGACGTGAAAGGGACACATTGAGTGGCCGCCACCCGCACGACCAACCAGGACCGGGGACAAACTGCAACTGAGGTACGTGCCCTTAGCGGGAACCAAACCCGGGTCTCTCTGGACTGCAGGCCGATGCTCTAACCGCTGAGCCAAACCGGCCAGGGCAGATGTCTGAAATCTTTCATGAGGCTGAGCTGTACTTCACTGTATTTTCTTTGTATCTGTAGGATTTCCCTGTATTCTTCTATTTCTTTCATAAACTAGTTGAGTGGATTACTGTTCCATGCTATCAAATGTCACTAAGGTATAGTTTAATCCTATTTGTAATATTTGAAGTCTCAGAATACTAGGAACCTAGAATTATACAACTGTAACAATAAAGAATAATGATCTTCAACCAACATTCATTCTATATTGTTAATGTAAGGAAATAGTCTAGAGTGTGATAAAAAGATTTATCACAGTGTTATATTTTATCCAACATTAGGGGAAATATTACCTTGTACATCCATAGTATGGAATGATTTCAATGGCTGCTAAATATAGGAAGTTTTTAGTAGGAAAATTGTCATGCTATGTTAGAAAAAAAATCAATTTGTATATAAAATATGATGGTAACTATATAAAAAATGTCTAGAAAAAGATGGTAAATAATACCAGTTGCCTTGGGCTAACAGGATTATGAATAATTTTTTTCTGCTTTTTGTAACTTGATGAATTTTACAAATTACCTGCCTCTCCACCCCATACCTGAAAAAGGAAGGAAATTCACCTCCCAAATCTGTACTTAATCCCAGGTAAATCAGATTTATACTTCATTAGAATTTAAAAAATTTTTAAACTCAGTTGAGCTTTGTAGTGGAGGAATGTTTTTTAAAGACGTAACTACTTGGAATGGCAGAGCCAGTAATTATATAGCTAGGTTTATATTAAGTTGTAGTCATGGTATTTGGAGGAGAAGCCAGAACATTAAAATTGATTTTTATTAATTTTATTTATTTATTTATTTATTTATGGTACATGCCCCTAGTGGGAACTGAACCCGGGACTCT